CCCTTGACCGGAATCGAACCTGGGACCTTTCAGTCTGCAGGCCGACGCTCTATCCACTGAGCCAAACCGGTTTCAGCGTCAGTCAGTCTTGTTCACCCTGCCAGAGCCCAGTAATGAGCAGGCGATTATCCCAAAATGCCAGCAGCTGCCGGCACCAGTTTGCTCCTGGTCACTTAAGCATTTTTCTTAAGGGGGGGGGGGGGGGGGGGGGACATCACAGGCTCCAAACTATATGTGGATTAACTGCTAGGAATTCACACACCGTGTCTTCACCTGGTGCAGCTGCACTGATAGGGCTGCCTGCTTCGTGGTTCATACTTGATAGGAGTAGAGGTGGGCATGGGTGGGGAGAAGGGTGTAAGACAGGTAACCGTCAAGGACAGCAGCTTGTAGAAGTTTGTGACCAGTAATAGTTCCAAGAACACAACTTCAGAATTCAGATAATCAGACTGGCAGTTGGCTTTTCTCTGTAGTAGGTGGAGCAATATAGGAGTTTGGCTTGACATTGGCAGGAATATATGAATGGTCCTCTTGCCTGGATCAGTGACCCATCTCAGTCCTTTAATCATAGTCCTTTAATCAAAGCCAAAAGTCTACCCTTGACTGTGATTATTATTTTCACATCATCTATTTAGTATTCTAGATACTGGCTTAGTGGCAGCTCTAGACACCTGTGTCCCCGTGGACAGAACTCTGGCAGATTTTTAGGGACGTTTATCTATCTTTGGAGGCAACACTGCAAATGGTAAACAGCGATTTTTGTCAGGTGAGGGCAAACTGCTTCTGAGGGTCTAGACAGCAACTGAGAAAAATGCATTAGTCGATGTTTTTAATGCATGTAATTTTCCAGCAGAGGTGTGTACTTGCTCCAGCAGCACATTACCAGCTGCATTAGGAAAGACCTTGTTAGCATGTACATCCTATAATATAACATCTCAGATTCCAGAACCCTTTTTAAAAACTCACCCAGGTCACTTAGGACTGTTGGAGAGGGAGCTGGAGTCTCAATTTTCATGTGTGTTCCAGAGGTTGGGACCACGCTTTAAGAAGCTTGCGCTTGTCTGATTCCTTGGGCACAGCCAGGGACATGGGAGCCAGCGGGAAGACCTTTAAAACAGGGTCAAGCTGTGGTTTTCCACAAACTAAATCCTCTCATGTTTAGACATTTTATTTTTCATACCTTTTATTTTTAACAGAAAATTTTTTCCTCTTACATGAAAACTTACTCAGAAACTCAATCTGTAAATCAAAAGTTGTGTTCTGGTTGAAGTAATCATGGGGGCCAAAGCTGACGTGCTCCCTGCCTATTTTAGCCTCTCCGGGCCCCTGAGGCCCACCCCACAGAGCTGTGGAGCTCAGTGTGTCAGGCCTTGGCGTGCAGGCAGGATGCTCCCTGTCTGTCTGTGGGTTGGGAAGCTGGACACTGTTGATCCCTCTAGTGGCTCACACGGTCAGTGGTCAGTAAATAGATATTAGATTAGTGATTGTGACAGTAGCTTCTGCTTTGGAGGGATCAGGAAAACCTAAATATCAAACCTTTCAACTCCTCCTCATCAGCTCAAATGTTCCTGATTCCATTTCTGTTTAAATGCTATATACTCCATGTAGTCATAGAAAGTCTCTGGCGAACTCAAACTTTGAGACACTGATGAATTAAAGCCATTTCTCTATGGAGGAAACTAGATGTTACAGAAATAGCTCTTTGCGTATTACTATGAGTGCCTTAAATCTATTTGGAAAGTAGCTGGGATTTAAATACTAAATAATACTCACTAAACAAATGCATTTGCAAATCAAATATATCCACTTCCAGCTAAAGGGCCTGGCAAAGGGTGAGAAGTGGCCCTCATGACATTGAATAGTGCCTCCTGGTGGTGCAGAAAAACTTTATATTATATTGTTGGTTTGTGTTTCTTTTCCTTTATTTTTCTACTAGGAATAAAGAAAAACAGAGTTCTAAAAGCTAGAAGGTTGAGGAAGCAAGCTGAAGTCTCTTCCCTAGATTTTGACATGGAAGAGTATGAATTGAACTAATCTTTGTGACTGATACAGAGCAAAGCTAAGCTGTGGCTGAGTCAGAAGGTCTTAGAGGCCAGGCCCTTTCAGGGTCCAAATTAGGGTTTGTTCTGATTAAAGGGTTGATTGACAAATAGTAAGAAAGATATCAAACTGTATCTCAGGCATGTAGCTGTCAAACACCTTTTTAAAAAATAACTGTTTCTCACTTGATAATGTTGCATACATTTCGTTCATTAATAAAGCTATGGTTTTATGATAAATACTTCAAGTAAACTTTATACTTTGCTTAGCCCATATTTCTGTGGCCATTGCCACACCATGGTGACATGGTTCCTAAAATTGCAGGTCAGGGTTTGTTTGGGAGAGTTATTTTAAAGGCTAGAACACTTCTGTTGAAGGTTAAGACTATAAAACTAAGGTCCTAACTCTCCTGCTTGATGGTGGTTTTTGGTGGATGAGTAAACGGGGAGTGTAGCCCCCATAATTCCCTGAGGCCTTGACTTAATCTCTGTTGGGAGTGAAGAAGGCTCCAATAAATAGAACTTATCCTCCTCGAGGAAAAGCAATATACAGAGACAAGTCAGGATTTGGAGATTTAAAAAATCTTTATTAAAAATAAAGCAGATATTGTAGAGTGTGGCTTATAACTGTAGGCAAAGAGGTTTCCTAATATTGGACCTATGATTAGACAGAGCTCCTAGGGACACCACCAGCTCCTCTTGGGAGAAGGAGCAGAGCAGAATGAGTTCTCTGAACACAGGGTGGCTCCAAAGAGAAAGGGAAAGTGAGTGGTTAAGACGGAGTTACCTAAGTGCCCTGGCTCACAGCCCCCAGATATTTTGGCACATTGAAAAAAAAAATGTTTTTATTTGATTTTTTTAGAGAGAGGAAGAGAAAGGGAGAGAGAAATATCAACATCAATAAGCTACCAGGTATGTGCTCTGACTGGGAATCGAAACGGTGACCTCTTGGTGCATGGTCAGACACTCAACCATTGAACCACACCGGCCAGGCACTCTCAGCACATTTTTTACAGTATCCCCAGGCCAAAAGAAATACCAAAAGGTTCAATCGATTAAGTTCCGTCTCAACAAGTTAACAGTAGTAAGTCTTGCTATGCTTCTGAATATATCCCACAGAGCCCCTGCGAGTTTGCTGTGGCAGCCGAGGCACCATGGAGCATCGTTGGAAAATACACTCTCCTTCAGAACTCAACATAAAATTAAGTCACTCTTTATTCTCTTAGAAGAGTAAATGAATGAGGGAGTAGAAAAAAAGGCCAGGAGCATTACCCTAGTGGAGCTTCCTGCACGTGGAAGGAAATCTGAGGAGAAGGAAGAAACATACTCTTGTTCCAAAGCATCACCACAGCATCCAGGTTTCAGCTCAGAGTTCACCCAGAACTGATGTGGCTCCCTAACCCAGGAGACTGGACAGCATGTATTTAGAAGTTACACCTTCTAGTGTTCTTAGTACCACATACATGTTTGGAAGGGAAATGGAAAGCGAGGTGATAAACCCAGGGACGTAGATGGGATACATTTCTACAGCCTGCCCTTTCAATTCTGCATGCTCGAAGTCAAATATTATGTAGGCCAAGAATAAACTAATTTTTATTGGCCTAAGTTCGATACAGATGGTCAATTCTGCCGAGCCTCTAAGCAGTCGTTTTCTTTGTCCATAACTCTAAATGGAAGCATAGCCTATGGAGGGAAAAATGAATAGCTGAGCTTTTCATGTATACTCCGACCCCAACAATAAAATGGCCACTCCATTATAATGTAGAATTTCTATTAATAATGAAAAGTAACACATGGTGGATTTCTTATCATAAACAACTAAATATTTCCTGTGTGTGCCTCTCATTGTACCACAGAATCATGCCCCACCTGCATTTATAGCTTGATTGGTCAAGTGTGCATTTCAATCAGTCGGATTTGCCTCATGAGTGAAACACCAGTATTAGCAAAACGTGAATTGCTCAATGTGCAAAAAACTTATCAAAGTAGTCAAGTATTTAATTCCTTTGTATTAAAACTGTATTGTGCTATACTGAACACATAAATTTAAGAGTTTGCAACTATGTCTATGAAAGCATTTTGTTGTTTTACCTGTACCCCTCCCCCATCCCCAAAAGAAGCATTTTCCAGGATGAATTCAGTTTACTCTGAGGAGGAGGCAGTGTTGAATAGAATACCTGAAGTGAGAAGACAGGTATGGCTGTCACCATGATTACCTGTGGAAAGAAATGGGCTAGTCACTTATTGGGAGATGCCGGTAGAAGAATACCTATTGGGGGAGGTCCTGGGCTCTTCACAGGAGGCGTGCCCCCAGCCTCACCTGCTGTGTTGCAATCTCTCCCTGTGTTCCTTTTCCTTGCTTCTTCCTCAAGGCCTCCTAGTTGGCATCTCATTCTACTCCTATCTTCCTTCTCTCCCCCCTCCCCCCTTTTACCTGGGTGTCCTCAGCTCTTGTTCTGTCAGCTCCACTCCTCCCTAACGGAGCTTCCTCAGAAGCTCTGGTTCCTTGTCAGTAAAATGGGGTAATTAATAACCTCTGCCTACTTCATGGAGCAATCATGAGAATGGAACGAGATGTATGTTAAAGCATTTTGTTAACTGCAAAATGCTACATAAATGTCAGGTGTTATAAATCATTAGCTGGTCTTTTCCTCAGTTAAAGCATTTTTATGTATATTTTACTCACCCTCTGAACAATTCTTTGTCAAATAACAAATGTAAATGCTGCTGTTTTTTCCTGCTTGGATTATGGTGGTTCCTTTGCAACTTTATGATGTAGGCTGAATCTTTAACTACTCCTTTGGCTCATATCTCTTCCCCTGAACACCCATGCAGGATCATAATCCATAAAACACAGAAGCAATAACTCCTTTTAATTGCCAGGAGTTCATCATTTGCTGAGTTCTAACTGCAGTCACTTAGACACTTGTCTTGAAAAGCCTGTTTCTGTTTACTCCGCAGAGCCGAGACTGTGTGAAGCTGGGCCCTCCTGCCGAGGGAGAAGTTGTTGAAGTCAAGTGGCCTGATGGCAAACTCTATGGGGCGAAATATCTCGGATTGAATGTGGCCCACATGTACCAGGTGAGTGCTGAGCAGTGTTTGATGCTTGCTGAGATGGACAGGTGAAGCCAGAGGGCAGATGGTATATCCATTGTGCTGTAATCAGTAAACCGTATCAGTATGGGATACCTCTTATTTTGTAAAGGAGGCAAAGACTTGATGTCTGGTGACCCAGGCACTAGAGTTTTATTACCATGTTTCCCACTGGGAAACCCTAATAACATTTGGTGAATGGTAAGGAACATTGTTAGGCTGGAAGGGTAGGCAGCTGGATGCTAGGCGGCTTTCCTGTGTTTTCATGATATGGGGAGAGCCTAATTGGCTGGTTTATCTCACCAGAGCCAACACGGTGATGGCTGTTCACCACCAGCAGCCCCTGAATTTGTGGCTTTTGCCTGAGATGCCCATTGCGCACCTCAGCAAACATAAACCAATGGTGCGTTGACACAGATGTGGCCAGTTGTACACCCAACCTTAAAGGAGTGCTGTCTAATGCAGAGTACAGCTATCAGTTGGATATTTTGCTCACAAGGGCACGCTACATTATTAGAGTATGTATACAATTAGAAAATGAATTTTATCCCTATCAAAAGTGAGAATGAGTTAAGCTCTAACAAGGAAAATAACATGGATAGCACACATGCCTTTATATTCCTTCAAAAAGACGTTAAAAGGGAGTAAATTTATTGAAACCAATACACTGCAGTTCTTTCAGTAACACGGAGGTGGAATCAACATTCCCAGGCTAAGCAGTAGAGTGCAAACAGGAAGATTGAAGTAAAAGGAGAAAAAGCAAGAAGGATCAGGCCTGTTAAGTTGGGTGGAAAGAGATCCAGCAAAGATGCATTTAATTATAACCTGTGGACACAGACAATAGGGTGGGGCAGGGGTGGGCCAGGAGGGGTCAATGAGGAAAAAAGGGGGCATATGTAATACTTTCAATAATAAAGATTTAATTAAAATAACAGTTTGAGAATGCTAAGACTGCCAATTTCAGCAGAGAAGTTGTTCAAAGATCAATAAGGGGCTTAAATGGAAGAGTACATGGCAATACAGTGCACCAGGGATGAGCCCAGTGTCATTAAAAGTATTCAGAAAAGTTTGGAAAACTTAGGGAAGAACATTTTTTGAAGTCTAGAAAAGTGCAAGGGGAGTGGGGAGGAGAGGACATGTACATATAGTGTGTGTGTGTGTGTGTGTAGGCTATTTTCCCCTTTGCTTTGGTGGCAATGTTAACTTACGGGTTCAGGTCATCCTATATAATAAAAGCCTAATATGCTAAGTGTCCGGTTGGCCATTCAACCAATCAAAGCTTAATATGCTAATGATATGCTAAGGCAGCTCAACTGCTGACTATGACCACCAGGGGGCAGACAGTCAACTGGTCAACCAATTGCTATGACGTGCACTGACCACCAGGGGCTGCTCCTACCAGTAGGTTAGCTTGCTGCTGGGGTCCGGCTGATCAGGACTGAGCAAGACTGGCTGGGCACACTCTAGAGCCCTCCCGTGGCCCCTCCCTGGCTGGCCAACCTCTTGCATCCCTCTCCAGCCCCAATGGTGTACTGGTGGGGTCCCTCGGCCCGGACTGTGCTCTCTTGCAATCTGGGACCCCTCGGGGGATGTTGAAGAGCTGGATTCGGCCTGATCCTGCAGGCCAGGCTGAGGGACCCCACTGGTGCACGAATTTGGGCCTCTAGTTTATAATAGGGTAAGTGCTGGAGCATCTTTGCATCAGGATGTTCAAAACTGGACAAAAATCACAAGATAGGCTGATAATACTGGTGGTTCCTCGAAAAGAGGCATTATTGAATATTACATCATTCAAAAGAAAATAATTACATTTAATTAGACAATAAATGCGAAAGCAAAGCATCTCACATGTAGCAAAGCTGTTTGCTCCATGAAAAGTATAATGAGGACATGTTGAAATTCAGGCTAATTAGTAATCAGTGTGTGAACTTCAGGTGAATTTATGATGGCCTATCAACAGAACTGTGGGCACATTCATAGACTTAATGAAAAAGTTAAGACTATTATTAAAATTAGCTCTCAAGTACAAGCAGTTTAAAATTCCTCATTAAACCAAGTGGCCTTTTGAGATCAGTTTGTGTTTTGTGTCTATTCAACCTCACCATTGAATAAGCGAAGACATTTATAAAAATAGACATAACAAAAATACCTACTGCACAGTGATAAATATCCTAAGTATATGCATTTTTGGACCCTTACAGTAGCCCTATAAGGTAGGTGTTTTTGACTCTTATTTTACAAATGAGGCCAAAAGGGATCATTGAATTTAATAATTTGTCTAAGAGCACACATCTGGTCAAGGGAAGGGCCATAATCTGCTCTCAGCTCTGTCCCAGTCATGGTTCACAACCACCCCAGAGTGCAGGGACAGCCCCTCATTTTAGCCCTGAGAGTCCTGCATCCCTGGAGACCCTCAGTCCCCGGCAGCCAGGATAATTAGTCACCATAGCACACTCCCCTTTTGTTTTATAATTGCCTTTTCCCCTTGTAACAATTTTCAAATTATCTAAAACAGAAGAAAGGTAGGCACAGGTGGTTCTAGCTATGCTATCAGATTGTGTAAATGAGATGACACCTTGGCCTAATTAAATATTAAAGAAACCATTGTGCTAAAACAAGGCCTGGAAGAGGAGCCTCCCGCCTCAGCCTTCCTGGAGTCAGCAGAGCTCTCCTGCGAGGGAGGCTTAATTCCACCCCGCTCAGCTTAGTCCGCTGGTGCACGAATTTGGGCCTCTAGTTTATAATAGGGTAAGTGCTGGAGCATCTTTGCATCAGGATGTTCAAAACTGGACAAAAATCACAAGATAGGCTGATAATACTGGTGGTTCCTCGAAAAGAGGCATTATTGAATATTACATCATTCAAAAGAAAATAATTACATTTAATTAGACAATAAATGCGAAAGCAAAGCATCTCACATGTAGCAAAGCTGTTTGCTCCATGAAAAGTATAATGAGGACATGTTGAAATTCAGGCTAATTAGTAATCAGTGTGTGAACTTCAGGTGAATTTATGATGGCCTATCAACAGAACTGTGGGCACATTCATAGACTTAATGAAAAAGTTAAGACTATTATTAAAATTAGCTCTCAAGTACAAGCAGTTTAAAATTCCTCATTAAACCAAGTGGCCTTTTGAGATCAGTTTGTGTTTTGTGTCTATTCAACCTCACCATTGAATAAGCGAAGACATTTATAAAAATAGACATAACAAAAATACCTACTGCACAGTGATAAATATCCTAAGTATATGCATTTTTGGACCCTTACAGTAGCCCTATAAGGTAGGTGTTTTTGACTCTTATTTTACAAATGAGGCCAAAAGGGATCATTGAATTTAATAATTTGTCTAAGAGCACACATCTGGTCAAGGGAAGGGCCATAATCTGCTCTCAGCTCTGTCCCAGTCATGGTTCACAACCACCCCAGAGTGCAGGGACAGCCCCTCATTTTAGCCCTGAGAGTCCTGCATCCCTGGAGACCCTCAGTCCCCGGCAGCCAGGATAATTAGTCACCATAGCACACTCCCCTTTTGTTTTATAATTGCCTTTTCCCCTTGTAACAATTTTCAAATTATCTAAAACAGAAGAAAGGTAGGCACAGGTGGTTCTAGCTATGCTATCAGATTGTGTAAATGAGATGACACCTTGGCCTAATTAAATATTAAAGAAACCATTGTGCTAAAACAAGGCCTGGAAGAGGAGCCTCCCGCCTCAGCCTTCCTGGAGTCAGCAGAGCTCTCCTGCGAGGGAGGCTTAATTCCACCCCGCTCAGCTTAGTCCGATGTGAGCAGGACATGGTAACAGGGTTAATTGTGTAATTTATTATAATGTTTTCTTAAACTCCAGCATATTTTTTATAAACATAGCTCAGCTCCATGGTTTAACTTACCTTTAACTGGAAGTGCAAGCATTTTTTATTTCTTAAGAGTAAAACATTCAGACAAACAGACAAGTTAGGGACTTCAAAAATATCCTGAGTGCTTCAGAGTTAGAACACATTAGGTATTCCACCCTGTTTGCATCTTTTTTGTTGTTTCCCCCTAAAAGAGTGAACTTGGGATTAAACATGAACCAAGAACAATCCCTGCAAATAGGGCATCTGATGGACTTCCCCCAGATGCTCTAGGTTTCTGTAAACCCGTGTCACTTATGCCCTTTTCTCTAACAAAATCTGCTGAAATGCCGGGGAAAAAAACTGGTTTTGAAATTATTGCTCCCAAATGATTAGCTTGAAAAAAGTTTTCAAACATTTTCATTTTAGGTAACAATGTTTTTACACATTAGTGCGGTTTAATTGTTTTGAGGGTGAGAACCTGGGGTTTTCCTGGCTGTTTGGTTGGATTTGACAAAAGTGAGTTCAGAACATAAAAGCTTTGTAAGAACTTGAGAAATTATTTTATCTGGGAGGATTATTTTATCATCATTTCTTTCTCATGGAGAAATAGCCCTCCCTCTTACATTGTCAGAACCTCTTAAAGAATCAAATGGTACTGACAGGCCTGGCCCATCCTAAATTGGCTACAGTCTCAGTTTCTGAGCAATTACTTGAGCAGCAGCTACTGTTCTTTGTTTTTGCTGTGGTGGATAAAGTTTTTACATCACATATTCCAAGACAGTCATTTTCAAGAATTTTTAGCTTGTTTGATTCTTAGTTTGATAAGGGAAACTTATCAAACTTCCTTCCTTGGCTGTTGGCTAGTTTCCTTTATCTGCTTTATCCTTTTTTTCTTTTTAGCTTGTTCAATGGAACCCTGAAATAAGTGGTCAGTGCTTATTTGTTTTTTAATATATATCATGATGTCTTACTTTTCATTAGGTTGAATTTGAAGATGGATCCCAGATAGCAATGAAGAGAGAGGACATCTACACTCTAGACGAAGAGTTACCCAAGAGAGTGAAAGCTCGTTTTGTAAGTGCTGGCAAATGGCACTCAGGGGTCTGCCCTGTAGTTCCCTTATCCTCTCCAGCGGGAAACATGCTTGGGTCTCACAGAGTATCTTCCATAGAGTCTCCCTCCTCTCCCCTCTCCACCCTCCCTTCTCCTCCACTTTCCTTTGTTTTTAAATTAAACACACACACATACACACACACACGTTTTTTTGACCGCCTAGAGATTTTGAGGATGGGAAATGGAGTGAGTAGCCCTCTGGAAGTCTCTCAGGTCTTTGACTCTCTAATCCATGTGTGGTTAAGCATTCTATGCGCCTGGTCTTACAGATTTCACATACTGTTTCTTATTCGTATTAAAAGAAATCGGTCTGCTTTCTTCTCGGACCACAATCTCTTTGTTCCACAGTAGATTTGGCTCTAGTACCAGGATACCCTCTCATGTTCTTTTATTTGAACTCAGCTCCTGAGTTTTCTAAGGTCCATTTCTCTGAACAATTAGACCAAATTCAAACTTTTTCTTTTTTAAATTATCAGAGGAAAAAATGTTAAGAAACGGTGGTGAAAAATATATGTCACATATATAATCTGAATGTATCCTGTTATGTCACACAGTTGAGCCTCGTGCAAATATCTTCAGAAACAAAGGCTCAGGGTCCAGCTTGCTTCCAGTGCTTTTATTGAGTCAAAGACTTAGGCCTCCTGTTGGAGGAACGGCTTTTCCCTCAGGTTGATATGCAGCCCTCTGGCCCTCGGGCAGTTTGTCTATGACTGCTATTTTTTTTCCAGTTGGTGAAACAAATCTAATTGGAAAACTCATTGAAGGGAGATATTTATGACTAGAGAAACCTCTTTTGTGTGTTTTAAGGAGGGGTGGGTTAGCAGCCCTCCCTGGGTGGCCTCCATGTTTTAATGAATTGTGCTCATTCAGACACATGCTGATTTGGAAAGAAATTTTTCAAAAGAGTCAGCAGTCCACCTCGGTGATGGTGCTGGGTTCTTTCCCACTAACTTCAGAAACAGCCCCATTACCTTTTATTGTCTCACAGAATAACCATAGCAACAGTGCATAATTAACTAGAGCTACTGGTAAATCGGTTTTATTGTGTTTGAGAGGCTGAGTTTTGCTGTTCTCACACAGTGGCAATACTATCGATGTTTTATTTTCTCCTTTGATAACTTGGGCATTTATAAAAGGGAAAGATTACTCAGAGGAAGTACTGTCCCCAGAAAGAATGAAGCAAAAATGTTTTCTCCCAATGGCAGAGGGTGCCCAACCAACCACCAGGCTTCCTGGGTGAAACAAGGTAGTGTCTGAGGACCTTTGGAAGCAGCCTGTTGCCCTGGGTAACCGTCTCAGCTGGCAGGGAGCATGCCCAGCTGGGCACTTGAGCCATTTTTTAGTTTTCAAGCTTCATTGTAACTATTCCATTGTTTGTCTCTTCTTCACGATTGACTATGTTTTCAAGCCCTAAAAGCCGGACTGTGCCTCTGTCACCAACCTGGGAAGGAGGCCTCAATGACATAGTAAGATGCTCTAGTCTACACGTTGGTTATTCTGTGTGATCCAACTCAGTGAAAACCATTTGGGAATGATTTTAGGAGGCAAAATAGTAGGGAGTTAGGAAACAAAAACAGTGCTTTCTAATGTAGAATTTACCTGATCCTAACAGAAAAACCCACATTCATTCCCCCAGCTAACACTTACTGAGCAGTGGCCGAGAGCTGGGCATATTGCTTGGTATTGAGAAAATGTGTAAAATCAATACTCAGTCCCTAATATCCTCACCCTTAAGGGTTTTGGGAAACCCCTGATGGGGAGAAACGCACCTGTCCCTGTCCTTGCCACTGCCCCCATTCCACTGCACTGCCGTGGGAAGTGCAGAGGTCCTCAAACTTTTTAAACAGGGGTCCAGTTCACTGTCCCTCAGACATTCCACACATGCGCACTGCGGGCCCGGGACTAGTCGGCTGCTAAGCAGGACAGGCATCGGCAGCAAAAACACCCAGCGGGCCGGATAAATGTTTTCGGCAGGCCGCATGTGGCCCGCAGGCCGTAGTTTGAGGACCCCTTTGTTACAGGGACCCTGAAGGAGGGCTTCAGATTTGCCTGTGGCAGAGAAGGTGGAGTCTGTTCCATGCAAGGGAAACAGTGCGTATAAAGACAGGCTTGCACAAAGAGCCAGTAGTGTGGCCGGGACCTGAAACAAGTCAGTCTGACCGGAGCTTGGGATAGGATTCTGCCAGGTTATATAGGTACAGCCTAGGGCAGTGGTTGGCAAACTGCAGCTCGGCAAACCGTGGCTCGCGAGCCACATGCAACTCTTTGGCCCCTTGAGTGTGGCTCTTCCACAAAATACCGACTTCTGCACATGGGCCACGAAGTTTCAATCACACTGTACGTGCACATCCGCACGTGGTATTTTGTGGAAGAGCCACACTCAAAGGGCCAAAGAGCCACATGTGGCTCACGAGCTGCGGTTTGCCGACCACGGGCCTAGGGCGTTGGGATGTTGTCTTTATTGAAAGATTATAAGCACGAGTGTCACTTAGTCTGAAAGTTTTTAAAGAACTTGCATCTACTGGTTCTGTAGAAGATAGCCTGAAATGTTGCATTTGTCGCAGTGCTTCAGAAAAGGATGTGTGAGGCCTGCACCATGGGGTCAGTGGTGTTAAGAATAAAGGATGGAGGGCTTTGTGTAGGAGGGGTACTGGACAGGCTGGGAGCAGGGGGAGTTTACAATGACTTTTAGGTTTCTGATCATTGTAGCTAGATGGGTGGGGATAGTTGTGCCATTTGTGAAATATTAGAGGTCCAGTGCACAGATCCATGCACTGGTGGGGTCCCTCGGCCTGGCTGCAGGCATCAGGCCAAAACCGGCTCTCCTCTGTCGCCCGAGGAGTCCCGGATTGCAAGAGGGCACGGTCAGGCTGAGGGACTCCACCGGTGCATAAATCTGTGCGTTGGACCTCTAGTATACATATAAGATCTTTGGTTAATCTCTTCCCACCCTCCCCTGTACCCCCTTCCCTCTGAGATTCATCAGTCTGTTCCATGTTCCCATGCCTGTGGTTTCCACTCCTGAGCTGAGCATCTGTCCCCTGGTGACCAGTGCACATCATAGCTACCGGTTGGCCGGTCAGCCAGTCAGCCGGTCACTTAGGCTTTTATATATATAGATAATAGACCACAACGGTGCCTCTAATTCACTGAGTTTTCTTTGGCTCCTGTGTATCTGGAGTAAGCTTTTCCTACATATGGAGACAGTAGTGCCGACTCACCGGTATGAAGATACACAGCATTGCTATTGTTCTAGGACAGTCAGTTCAACCCATCTCCCTTGGGTATTCTTGCTATGTATTTGTAAAATGACTATTCAAGGACAAGAAGCAGACCTAAAGGAAGGAAGGCCAGCATATACATTCTGATGTCATTTTTGGTTTGGAAGTGTGCTAATTAATCACACTCCTATTCCCTACCAGCTCTGAACAGTTTGAGATTCAAAATTTGTCAAAACCAGGTTGGAGAACATGGTTTATTCCCAAACCTGATTCAAGCCTGTCACTACTTCCTTTAACCAAAGTATTTTCCCTGGCACCTCCCCGAGTAAATTAAAATGGGGCGGGGGGGGGGGGACTGCGGATAGGGAGGTTGTGGCCCCGCCCCCTGTCACTCACAGAGCCACAGGGCGATCAGGGGGTTTGGGCGCTGCCCCCTGTCACACACAGAGCCGCAGGGCAGTCAGGGGATTGGGGAGCTCCCCCCTATCAGGCACAGAGGAGGGCTGATCAGGGGGTTGGGGTGCCTTCCCCTGTCACGAACAGAGTAGGGCGGATAGGGAGGTTGTGGCCCCGCCCCCTGTCACTCACAGAGCCACAGGGCGATCAGGGGGTTTGGGCGCTGCCCCCTGTCACGCTGATCCCGGTTCCGGGAGCCTCGCTGCTCCGCTGATCCCGGTGCTGGGAGGCATATTACCCTTTTACTATATAGGATAGAGGCCTGGTGCATGGGTGGGGGCTGGCTGGTTTGCCCTGAAGGGTGTCCTGGATCAGGGTGGGGGTCCCCACTGGGGTGCCTGGCCAGTCTGGGTGAGGGGCTGAGGGCTGTTTTCCGGCTGGCGAGTGACTAAAGCTTCCAACCGCTCCTTGTTTTCTTCTCTCTTTTTTTTTTTTTTCTGGGCCAGCTTTAGCTCTGAGGCCTCGCTGCTGAAAACATAGATACAATGTTGCGGTCCGAGCCCTGCTGAATGGAAGCCCTTTTCTGGGGTTTTGTTTAGCTTCTTATTTGCAACATAGTATATAGTTGCTTAGAGTTGCAACTGAGAGGCTGGCAAGTTAGGCGGAGAACGTTGGAATCTGCAGCAAGCAAGCCTCGTGCTCGCTTCAGTGCCTGGCTGCCGGCCGCCATCTTGGCTGACAGTTAATTTGCATATACTCACTGATTAGCCAATGAAAAGGGTAGCGGTCGTACGCCAATTACCATGTTTCTCTTTTATTAGTGTAGATAGGCAGGACAGGGATAGAGAAGGAAGAATTTGAGTTTCATTCAGGAAAGGTTGATTTCGAAGTGCCTGTGGGGTAAACACTCTGAGATGCCTGCTGGGCAGTTGGACACGCAGGCCTGAGCACAGGAGGAGGTCTGGCTGGATGAGAAATGTCAGCATCATGGAAATAGATGCAGGAATTGAGGCCATGAATGTGGGTGTGAAGACCTGGGGAACATATGGGGAGAGAAGACGGCCAAATGTAAAATCCCAGGGGCATCAGAGTTGAGCAAATAGTTAAGAAAGGGGAGCCCCTGTGCCATCAACAGTGAGTACCCAGAGGAGGAGGGGAGTCAGGAGGAGGGGCTTATAAAATGACAGAGAAGAGAGCTTTGAGCAATAGGTGACAGAATAGGTAAATAAATTTAGGATAGAAAAGTGTCATAGGAACTAGGATTTGAGCAAGGACAATTTCAGGGAGGTTGTGGGGGCAGAGACCTCGAGTGGAATAGGGGTGAATTAGAGATGACTATTGACCAATTTCTCAGAAATCTGGTTGGGCAGGAACCGGAGGGAAAATGGAGAGTGAGGGAGATTTAAATGAGACTTTAATCCTGCTGGTGCTGGGGCAAGTCCCTGGGGTTGGAGACCCTGAAGAAAGAGGGTTAAGGTGGAGGGGGGAGGGGAGGACGGTTCCAGAGCCATCTGTGTGGGGCCCTTCACCCTGGGCTGGTGACCTGTCCCTGGCACCCCTGGATCAATCTTTGTACACTCTTGCCATGGTCAAATGCTGTGCCCTTCTGCAACGTAACGCTGGCTAATTTTAGTCCACAGCCTCTGATATGCGATTTGAAGACACATTTTATGGAGCAGACATAATCCAAGGGGAGAAAAAGAGACAAAGAGTGCTGAGCTCCAGGTTTAAGAACGAATATGTGGACGACCCCGTGTACCGCACGTTTTTGAGGAGCTCTTTCCAGAAGAAGTGCCAGAAGAGACAGTAGTCTGCGTGTACTGCTGCAGCACCAGAGCAGCGTGGGCAGGAAGAGGAAAGGCAGGGCCAGCCGTGGGCTGTGCCACGCATTCCACTGCGGTAGGTGATGGCTGTGTCTCTAATGGTGGAAAACTAGGCTTCCCAGAGCGTGGTAACCCAAACCGCAGAATACACATATTGTTAATTGGATACAACCTGGAGCCACCCCCTAGTCTTGCTTTCACATGAACGCAATTGTCTTTTATGATCCCAAAGGATTTTTCTAAGTGGAAGGAAATAATAGTGAGTCACCCACCAAAAAAGCCACTGCCAGAGGCCATGGGTCCCCAGGTGTGGCTTAGGCCTCGAGGCAGGAAACACAGGGAAACTCCCCTCCCCCGGCAGGTGGGAGCCTCCCACCCGGAGGGCAGGGTGGTCATTTCTATATTTTCCACAGTCAGGGAAGGATTCTCACTTAGTTGTTTTAAATGGCAGTTTTTATAAAATATTTTTAAACCACAAATGGCATGGATGGTGATGAAATTTACCCGTGTGCTACCTGTATTTCCCTTGTACAGAACTTTTACATTTTTTTATATCCCTATCACTTTTGATTGTGTCTACTGAGAACTGAGTTGTTGGCCTTTGTGAAACTTTTGGCTCTTGAGAAAGAATTTTTATGAATTGTATGGAAATTTTATGAATTGTATGGAAATTTTATATATTTAAAGAGGGAGACCTGGGGCTGTTATTTTTAAACACTTTTTTTCATAACACATATTCTAAGTAGTTATTTATAAGAGGTTTCTTTCATTATGTGTTTGTAAAATTAGAGTTTAAATAAATATGCTTCTATGCATAGTTTTGAATTAATATGATTTTCCCTTTTTAAAACAGCCTGAAAATGTACTAGTGTTTAAAAATAAAGATTTCCATCTTCTCCAGTTCTGTCTCCTGACTTGCTTATTCACTTAGGTTTCAACCAATAGGAAAACTGGTTTGTTTGGGAGCTGGCTATCATGGACACGGTGCCGGCATCCAGGGCAGTCACCGGGGACAAGTCTTCCGCCTGCCCACAGGCCAGCTGGGGTTTCCTCACTCCTTCCTCCAGGCCTGGAAGAGATCCGAGCACCTGGAGTCTCGGCTCTTTCCATCCCGGTTTTCTTGGTCCCCAGTTGCCATTAGAAGAGGCTGTAGGGACCATCTAGCCCAGTGGTTCTCAACCTTCCTAACGCCACAACCCTTTAATACAGTTCCTCATGTTGTGGTGACCCCCAATTTCATTGTTACAAATTGAACATAATTAAAGCATAGTGATTAATCACAAAAACAGTATGTAATTATATATGTGTTTTCCGATGGTCTTAGGCGATCCCTGTGAAAGGGTCGTTCGACCCCCGAAGGGGTCGAGGCCCACAGGTTGAGAACTGCTGCTCTAGCCCCTCCCTTGCTTCATAGAGGACAAGTCGGGATGGGCAGCGGGAAAGGGATTGCCCAAGGTCACACTGTCCCCAGTGATGCCCCTTAACAGCTGCCAGCTCTCCGTAGCCTCTGGGAGAAGCACTTCTTTTGCTTATGAGTCTGTAGGTTGGCAGTGCCAGGCTGGGCTTGGCTGGCAGCTGTGTTGACGGGGCTTGGGCTGGCTCTCATATCTGCTCCACGTGTCTCCTGCCAGCCCACTGGACCTCGTGGGTAACCCAGGTAAGGTCTTCTCAGGTCAATGGCAGAGGTAGAAAGCAAGTGAGCCCAGCTGAGTAAGCACATTGCAGCCCTGTCTGGGATGTTGGTTAACATCTGTGGGCCAAATCCCACAGCCAGGGATTGGAGGGCATTTGAGAGTTTCATGGCAAGAAATGTGGATGTATAGGGTTACAGGGTAGAGTAAAGAGCTGCATTTCCAGTGCCTCATGGCTGAACTCTGAGCTGGGGAAGAGCCCGCCAGCTTTATTTTTCACAGACTGAGCACTTTACATTCTCTGCCATTATAGTCAGATATTTTATCCGGTAATCAAGCTTGCATTTTATATTTCTTGGTTTTGAATGACACTGACCTGCTGTGTCTACGATATGCCAGGAAAGTAGGCCTGTGTAAGGCATTAAGAGGAATTAATCTAAACAGGATCATTCGTTTTGTACATGTTTGCCTGTCAGCAAGATTGCTCATTGGTTGCCACAGGGAGAGAATATACAGAGTCTTGTGTGATGTCCAATACAGCTGCTTTTTGTAGTCTCACCTAACTAGTGGTTGTATAACCAAGTACAGCTGTCTACAGCCTTAGCAAGACAGTGCCAAGCACAGATGTACGCGGCTCTGGAGAGAGACACTTGGTGTCACTGCATCTGACAGTCCTTACTAGTTCTATGACCAGAAAGGCTGTTAAAGCTTTTCCACTTACTGCAGGGCACCTCAGTTGTAATGTTCATTGCTTTGCGTTACACTAACTGCATTTTTAGTGTGTGTGTGTGTGTGTGCGTGTGTGTGTGTGTAGCATGAAATCAGTTGAAGTCCTTCTAGTATTTAAAAAAAAATGTTGCTAGCTGTTATATTTCTAATGTAATTCTAAATGCACGCCTTTTCTCTGGAGGTTAGAGGATTAGTAACAACCGCCTGGCATATTTCACAACCTTTTAGTTCTTTTATGTATGTTTGAAATGAGAACAATGTGATCCTTGTCAGTTTGCTTTTATTAAGGTACTTTTGTTTAGTTCTTCTAGAGAGAAATTGAGAAGAAGCATCAACACTAAAATATCCCATGGGTTCTCAGAATACATTATAAATTGCCATTGGGCAATTACATATGAAAACATGAGGACTCAGAATACAAAAATATGCGGGAGTAAATGTCTGTCTGCCACTTCTCCCTGCACCCACCCGATGGGAAACAAGGCCGAAATGCCTACGTGACCGTGAGTGGCCTGGAGGTCCAGGAGTAATCATATTGGAGTAGGATATGCTGCAAGATAACACTATGCTTTATTTTTGCCTTTAATTAAAAGGTATAGGGAATGAAACGATCTTTATTTTACAAATTAATCAGCCCCCTAAACTTGAAGCTAACTAGAGATCCTGAGACATTCTCATTATATGAAGTAATTGGTTGGTTGCAAGACTCAATTGTACTACAAACTCTTTCTGGGAATTCAGATGGCAGTCGTCAGAGGGGTTACGCCTTCTCTCACCCAGCACAGTGTAGAGACAAACAGCACTGTGGTGGGGAGAATGGTTCCTGGTGTTGAGACCTGAGATCTGCATCAGTGGGCTGACAATGTAAAAACCCCATGTTCCAGCCTCAGAAGGCGAAGATCTCCTTAGAAATGGAACTTCACCAAGAGAAGCTGACACTAATGATGTATGGAGCATCTGTGGTGTATACCCAGCCTGGTAGGCTCCTTAGTGGCGTTTATCTTACTTAGCCTCCCCAAGAACTTAGCAAAGTAAGTATCACTTCCCTCTTTCATGGATATAAACTAAGTCTCAGAGAGGTTAAGTAAATTTGAATTACTCAAAGTTCTCATTGCATGAGGGACAACGAGGATTCTAATGTGACCCAAATAAAAGACATTGGATGGATGAGTCTGAAGCTCAAACGACAGGTTAGCACTGGAGTCATCAACAAAGAAGGCATCATCTTTATTAAAAATCCATGAGATTTACCTTTTGGCAAAGGCAAAACTATAGGGACAGAGAAGGGATCAGTGCTGCCAAGGGCTGGAGGTAAGGAGGGACTGAGAACAAAGGGGTTTGGTGAAACTTCTTTGGCGTGATGGAAAGAGTGACCTTGAGGAAAGCATTCCAAGTGATTTCAGATGAGAAATCTGTTAACATTGAAATTTGTGTTCCTATTGGACATGCACCCTCTCTTCTCTTTTTAAACATTTTCTTCTTTATCTTTAGTTTTCAGAAGTGTGATGATAATGCGTCCTGGCTTTGATTTATTTTGGTTTATTTTGTTTGGAGTTTGTTAACTTCCTGGCCTTTTACCAAATTTGGGGGAAATTTCAACCATTATTTCTTGGGATTTTTTTTTAACCTCACACTCTTTCTTTCTGGGACTACAGTGACAGAAATGTTGCGTCTTTGGGTACTGAGATGATCTTTTAAGTCTATTTTCTCTGTTCAGATTTGCTGAATTCCAATGATTTGCCCTCATATTCACTGATTCTATGCTCTGTCATCTCCAAACTATTATTGAGTCCTTGAGTGAGTTTTTTATTTTGGTTATTGTATTTCTAAATTCTATAAGCCCCATGCAGTTCTCTTTTATATCTTCTATTTCTTTGTTGAAATGTTCTGTTGTTTTCATTTGTTTCAAGAGTTTTCATGATTGTTCATTGAAGCCTTTTTCTGGTGGCTGCTTTAAAATCTTTTTCAGATTATTCCAGGGTCTAACTCATTTTGGTATTGGTGTCTGTTGATTGCCTTTTCTCATTTAAGTTGTGATTTTCCTGGTTATGGCCTGACCAGTGATTCAACTGTAACCTGGACATTTTGGGTGTTATGTTTAGAAGAGTGGCTTCTACTTAAATCTTTCCTTTTAGTGGGAAGTCCCCTGTTTTGGTTTAGTGCTCAGGCCCTAGCCTACTTTTATGGGATGTGGTCCCAATGACCATGTAATTTTCAGTGCTCTTACTATTCTCCTCTGCTCTGCTTTGTTTGTGTGCTGCCCAGATGCCACTCTGCAAACCTAGGTACTATTCCACATTTTGGCTCAGTTCTCAAACTTGTTGGTGAGTTAATGTAGGTCAGTTTCACATGTGAGCTGCTCAGTGAGTTCCTATGCAGGTTTACAGAATTCCCATTTTGAGCTCCCCACTCTCCAACATCCTCCTTCCATTCTCTACTTAGGAAAGTGGGGATGCTGCCTTCCTCTGGAAACCTCACTCAGTCTCCACTGACAGCATGCTGGCAGGGAGAGAGGTGTCCTCCAGGCCCTCCACCTGATGCCAAGTCAGGGGCCGGGGTGGAAGTCCAGACTCCCCACTCAGTCTCTACCTATACAACACTGGGGCGGGGGCGGAAATGCAGACTCCCCACTTGGTATCTACTGAGATTGTACAGGCAGGAGCCATTCATTATGTTTGATTGGGGGTAGTACTAGTATATTGTCCGAAAGGATTTTGTCATGGTATGGTGCTCCTTTCTGGGTTCTCTGACTAGAGAGAACAGGCTTTTCCTATAGCTTTAGACTTCGTTTTCTGTGCCTGTAGTTGTGGTTCCGGTTTGCAGGCTGCTCTAGTTCCAAGTTCAGGGTACATGAGACATAAAAAGCAAACCCAGACTATTCACCCCTGTGTAGTTCCTATATCCTGAAGTCCCTCGTTAATCTGCCTGCCTCTTTCAATATTTCATAGTCCTCCTATGATTGTTTGTTGTATTACACGCATGGTTTTGAGTTATACTTAGCCTGGAGGAGCCTGGAGAACAAAGTCGTCTCTATCTTGTCTAGGACAAGAAGTCCTCACTTTTTATTATAGATGGGAGGAAATAATTCATTGTTAAGAGCATGGAGCAAGAGACTTGTTTAAAGTCAGATATTGAAGATTTAAAGGGAATAATTGATAGAGGGATTCTGAAGGGAGGAAAGGGGATTGAGAGCAGAGGTAAAATGGTTGGCCTGACACAGGAAGAGGGAGATTTCGTCCATAAAGATTTAACTCCCGATTTTAAGAGCAGAGATGGCAGGTGACAGAATTGTTTCAGGAAGGGGCTTTCCCGGTGTTTGGTGTATGGAAAAGGTTGTGAGAGAACTGAAGATGCTAGAGAGAGTATTTCTGTCCATTAGTTTGGGTATGAATAAGGAAGGTAGCTGGTGTCTAGAGGGAATTTCTTGGGAAAATACAGAGGGATCTAGGAAGTGGATGGCTGTAAAGACCGATCAGGCCTCCCCCTGCCCCCCTGGCCCAAGAGATGCCCAGAGCCTAATCACCAGGATCTGTCACCTTA